CATCACTTTGGGAGGCCGAGACAGGCAGATCACAAGGTCAGGAGTTCAAGAACAGCATGGCCAAAATGGTGAAACCTCATCTCCACTAAAAACACAAAAAGTAGCCGGGCGTGGTGGCACATGCCCGTAGTCCCAGCTACTCAGGAGGCTGAGGCAGGAGAATCGCTTCAATCCAGAAGGTGGAGGTTGCAGTGAGCCAAGATAGTACCACTGCACTCCAGCCTGGGCAACAGAGACTCCGTCTCAAATAATAATAATAATAATAATAATAAAATAATAATAAAGTTCTTTAACATTTTTAAAAATTTGTATGTGATTAAGTTGGCTATAATCAAAAAGGAGTTATAAGTGTTTCTAAAGATTGAGATTTTGGCCCTCTACGTTAAAATAACACTGTCTTAAAGTATAAATTTGCTCCTAGTGAATTATAAGAGGTTTTGATTTTATATTCTACAACCTATTTCTTTTCTAAAACTTCTCAAATTTATATCTCAAAAAATTCTACTTGTGCTATACCTCGCTGCACATGATTCCCAAGTCATGAGTCACTGTTGTTCGTTCTTTATACCCCTAAAAATAGACATCTTTTTCTTGGTTGAAATGATAGTCCTCTCCTTCAAACTTTTTGCCAACTTCTGTAATCTTTGGGTTTTTCTTTTTTCTTTTTTCTTGAGATGAAATTTTGCTTTTGTCACCCAGGCTGGAGTGCAGTGGCATGATCTCGGCTCACTGCAACCTCTGCCTCCCAGGTCTGGAACAAAACCATTTTCCTCTGATATAACTTGATTCTGTAGTCTTGGCTTTTCTCAATATATCTAAATGATTCCCTATAACCAGGGGACTTTTGATGCTGTTACTAAGATATATTTATTGTCTTGCTTAAGATACAAGTTTCCTTGTTTACTTTCCTCAAAAATATAGTGTATGTTCATAACCCTGGACACACTCTTCCTGTATTTTAATTAAATCCAAGTATTCTTTTTTTTTTCTTGCTCTGTCTTCAGGCTGGAGTACAGTGGCACCATCTCAGCTCACTGCGACCTCCACCTCCCGGGTTCAAGCGATTCTCCTGCCTCAGCCTCCCAAGTAGCTGGGACTACAGGTGCGTGCCACCAGCCCAGCTTTTTGTACTTTTAGTACAGACAGGGTTTCACCATGTTGGCCAAGATAGTCTTGATCTCTTGATCTCATGATCTGCTTACCTCAGCCTCCCAAAGTGCTGGGATTACAGGCATGAGTCACTGTGCCCAGCCTAAATCCAAGTATTCTTTTCATTGAGTTTGTCTTCCAGGTTATCTAAATAGAGTTCCAATAAAGCAAAACAATCATATTACAAAAGTTTTTTCTTTACTTTTTAGTAACTAGCCTAAAACTTTTCTAAATGTTTTATCAAGGTAATTCCTGTGACTTACTGTTTTTTGATTACTTTAAAAAAAAAAGCTTTAAAAAGGTGAAGATTTTTTACATACACATAACTTTCTTTCTCTCTCTCTCTTTCGTTTTTTTTTTTTCTTTTTTTTTTGAGATAGGGTCTTGCTCTGTCTTCCAGGCAGGAGTGCAATGGCACAATCACAGCTCACTGCAGCCTCAACCTGGTGGGCTCAAGAAATCCTCCCACCTGAGCTTCCGGAGTAGCTGGGATCAAAGGCACACACCAGGACAGTGCCTATTTTTTTAAAATTTTTTTTGTTAATTTATTTATTTTTTAAATTTTTGGTCGAGACAGGGTCTCATTAGGTTGCCCAGGGTGGTCTTGAACTTCTGGGCTCAAGTGATCCTCCCGCCTTGGCCTTCTAGTATTGGGATTACAGGGATGAGCTACCACATCCAGCCTTCTATGGGTTTTTTTTTTTTTGTTTTTTTTGTTTTTTTTTTTCCTGAGACGGAATCTCGCTCTTGTTGCCCAGGCTGTAGTGAAATGGCATGATCTCAGCTCACTGAAACCTCCGCCTCCCAGGTTCAAGCGATTCTCCTGCCTCAGCCTCCCAAGTAGCTGGGATTACAGGTGTCTGCCACCATGCCCAGCTAATTTTTTTGTATTTTCAGTAGAGGTGGGGTTTCACCATGTTGGGCAGGCTGGTCTCAAACTCCTGACCTCAAGTGATCCATCCACCTAGGCCTCCCAAAGTGCTGGGGTTACACGCGTGAGCCACCGTGCCTGGCCCTTTTTATCTTTTTAAGAGTTCTCTTTTCTTCTCACTAGCACACAGGTTGGCAAACCATGACCCACAGACCAAATCCAGCCTACTGTTTGTTTTTGTAAATAGAGTGTCATTGGAACAGAGTAACATTTGAACAGTAAACACAATAACATTTGAACACATTTGTTCAAATATTATCTATGGCTGCTTTCGCATTTACAACAGCAGGGTTGAGTAGCTGCAAATCCTCCTCAGAGCATAAAATATTTATTTTTCTTTTCAGGAGAAGTATAACAACACCTATACTATCCAGTTCCTCATTATTCCAATCCCATTATGGTTAATAATTTTTTTATGTTAAACTTTCCCTCTTCAAATTATTATGTAGTTTCTCTCTTCCGATTGAACCCTGTCTGATATATCTCCAACCTCTCTGGCTGTTTTCTCAGTCAATTTTTGGGCTCCCCTCCCTCTACCCATTTCATAATGTTAGAGTTCCTCAAGGCTCTCCTCTGCTTTTAGACAGGTTTTTGCTCTGCCACCCAGGCTGGAGTGCAGTGGCACAATTCTAGCTCACTGCAGCCTCCAACTCCTGGCTCAAACAATCCTCCCACCTCAGCCTCCGAAAGAGCTGGGACTACAGATGCGTACCAGCAACCCCTGGCTAATTTTTTAGTAAAGATAATCAATGGTTTTTAATTTGGGTTCCATTAATGGCTCCAATGTGTCTATAACTTAGCTGAAATTATATGCAAATTTTATATGCCTATGCAAATATACATAAGTATGGGGAGAAATTTCCAGCTTCATCTTTTGGCAGAATAGCTCAATAGTTAAGGGCACAATAGACCCTGCATACAACTTGGAGGACAAAAGTGACTGCATCTGGGATGCTAATCTGCAATGTTGACTTCTGATTAGCCCCAGTCCTGTGAATATCTCCTGATTCCTACTTTATTTACTGTCCCTAGTGTAAGAACATGTCAACCTTGATGTTACTGCACAGCTTATTATCTATTACACTGTAGCATTCTTGCCTGTTCTGGAGGGCTACCTTTAATTGTCTTGCACAGAGCAGTTTGACTCTTTCCCTACAGTATATAAACTCTGAGTGTGGAACTTACGTGTGCAGAAATCTGCCACCCAAGACCACACTTCTGTCTGTAAATTCCCCCAGTAAAACACCCTTATGAAGAAACTGGATTTGTCTGCCTCATCCTTTGGCGTCTTGGCTCCTCTGGCATTTGGGGACCACTTTGCATACAGGGCCCTCTCATGGAACACTACCTGCTTCAGTTTGAATCCCAGCTCTGCCTCTTTGACCTAGGCTAGCTTACATAACCTCACTGTGCCTCAGTTTTCTTGTCCGTAAAAAGGGAAAAGTATAGTACCTACCTCATAGAATTGTTATGGGAATTAAGACAGTTAATATATATAAAGCATTGGGACAGGGCCTGGCCATAATAAACACCATGTAAGCACTGGCTATTATTGCCATTTCTGGCACTCTCCCTTCTCCCTAGACGGTTTTCTGTTGCTCTAGTGCACCCTGCTCTCTCTGTGAGCCCTCAGGTGGGTTCTTTCCTCTGCACAGCACACTCTTGTCTGTGTTGCTTGCCCACTAACTTTCCTCTGGCCTCCGCTCAAATGTTATTTCCTCAAATAAGCCCCTCCTGATTTAGAGCTCCTCTCCCTGCTAGAAGCTCCCAGAGCTTTCTCTAATTCCCCTCATAACCCTCACCACGATTTATATATAGTGATCACCTATTTAAGGTCTGCCCTGACAGTCCATGAACTCTGGGCAGGCAGAGATTTTGTGTTCCTGGCTCCCTGCTGGACCTCAGCACAGTGCCTAGTACACTATAGGAATGCCATAAATGTTTGTCAATTGCAAGAATGAATGAATAAGGAACAAAACAAATGAAAGGCTTTTATAAAGTTATAAAACCCAATACAAATATTAGGTAACACAATAATGAGAATGTGTGACAAAATGTGATGATTGCTAATCAAATGTTAAATTGGTAAGAATTACTATTGTGTGAAGGAAACCCTCTTCTCTCCAATTTGCTATAAAATATATTAGTTCATTGGAACATGTGTCTTTTAACCAAATGGAAATTATGCAAAAGGACCAGAAAATATTACTGGGTACAATTAAGGAATCACAGACAGATATTGATTGGTTAAAACACCCTCCACATTCACCCCGAGGAAATAGGCCTCAGATGAAAGAAACAGTTAAACAGGGAACCTATTTATTCACAGAGAACATATTCATGGTCTTCATTCAAGACAGGATTAAATACTTTCACGAGTTGGCAAAAACAACTGTGCCAATGAAGACACAATAAAGTGATTCTCCTGGGAATGTCTTCAAGGACTTACTGCTTCCTCTCCACTGGAAAAAGGAATCCTCGAGGAGGAAGCGTTTACATTCCCCCACCTTCCCAACTGTCAGAATCCGACCACTCCTCTCCTGTCTAATCCGCCTTTCATTTCCCAGACGTCCACATCCGATCTCCAGGAGAAACAGTGCGGTAACTGCCTAACCAGGATTGGGGAAAACTGAACCAGGGACTGGACTTGGGTCTGGGGAGATAGAGGACTGCAGAGATTTCACAAACACCGCGGGTGGCCATAAGGGAGAGCCGGGTGAATGATCCCACAGGCCCTAGGCCCTAGATGGTTGGGGATTAGCGATGTGTAATTCAACTTCTGCCAGCATCGGCCGCAGCGTTCCCCCGTAGCCCGCCAGAGGCTGCCAAGCTCTGAACTACATTTCCCAGAAGGTCTGCTCCCCGGGCTGTCGCAATTTGAATTGGGGCGTGTCTAGAAAGAGAAACCACAGTCGGCGAGCGCCGCTGGGGCATCCTGTTCTGGTGCCGCTGCAGCCGGCAGAGATGGTTGAGCTCCTGCTCCTGCTGTTGCTCCTCCTTCTGCCCTTCCTTCTGTATATGGCTGCGCCCCAAATCAGGTCTGTGCAAATGTATTGCCTTCTCTTGCGAATTCTTGTTGGGGGCGGCAGGGAAACATAGAATCCCCACCAAAGCTTTCTTGGAAAACGCCTCTGGGGGGGGGGCTCCAAGATGGCGGGGCCCAGAGTTCGGTGGGTTGGTGGCGAGGTCCAGCTGTCCTGGATGCCAGGAGGAGAGCCGAGAGCCCAGGCGGTGAAAAGGGGCGGCACTCCGGGGCACCCTGCTTTTCCCTGGCCCGTTTTTCTTTTGTCTAAGCACCCCCTGATTCTGGCTCCAGGGAATCCCGAGGGTAAGGCTACCTCAAACTCTTGAGTTTCGGACCCCTCAATGGGATATGGCCCCACGCTGTTTTCCCCTTAATTCCCACGCCTTGAACCAGCCTTCGAGGTACAAAGGAGCGATTCCACATTTCGCCCTCTGAAACTGATAGCAATCGTAACATCTGCGGCCCCATCCTTGCTCTCTCGTTGCTGTTAGAATCGCTCGTTCTGTGGGCGGATTTTGTAAAGGAGAAAAGTGAAAAGTAAGAGGGTTTGGTTATGAGCTCTTATCCTGCCTTGCGAGTAGGAGCACGGGGGATCTGAGTTAGGAGCTAGGGTACTGCGGCGGTGAGGGCTGGGAGAATGGTGGAAAGGTATTGACCAGGTGATAGATCAATCAGCCCAAGGCTGGCCAAGTGCCCGAGTGAATCAGCAGCGGGCTGTAATACCGGCAGCCTGCTTATTGGTTCTAAGTAAGTCACCAGTGGTGACGGACCAGTTACTGAATAGACGCACTCCTTATCCAGGTGGGGCGGTCTTCGTCCCAGTGGAACTTGAAGGCAGGCCAGATCACAGCCATTTCTTACCACGGTCACCTACTTTCCTTCTTTTATTTTTATTTTCTCTTCCCTCTCTGGCGCCCCTCTTACAGTTATATATTTTCTCCCTTCTGAACACTCAGTTCTCCCACCTCTAGGCACATGTGGTTGCTCACACGCAGATGAAATCACTGCTTTTTATCTTTTTTTCACTACAAGATCCTCTTATCCATATAGAATCTCAATGAAAAGTTGAACTAGAACTGAAAATAGTGCTCATACCCCAGTGGGATTTTTCTGAAAAAAAAAAAATATATTATACTCCAGGAGCTGTATTCCCAACTCAGCAGGGTTATGGGAATCGGGCCAGAGCTGGACTTTTATAGTTGTCTCTTTCATTCCTGCTGGTTAAGGAGAAGAAAGAGCTAAGTACAGGTCCTACTAAGTTGTCACTCCTGGAACTACAGTAAGGGGATGTGGGAAACAGCCTGGAGGCTTGTTCTCTGAGGAGGGAGGTGATGGATTGTGGGGACCATGAATTAATCTGCCTCCCTGTGGCATTTTGCACTAAGCAGGTAGCTTCAATGGCTAAGAGTATGTACCTTGCAATTCCAACTTCAATGAAAAAGGCTGAGGTGCTCTTTGTTTTTGAGACGGAGTCTTGCTCTGTCACCCAGGCTGGAGTGCAGTGGCGTGGTCTTGGCTCACTGCAAGCTCCTCCTCCTGGGTTCAAGCCATTCTCCTGCCTCAGCCTCCCCAGCAGCTGGGACTACAGGCGCATGCCGCCACGCCCAGCTAATTTTTTTGTACTTTTTTTTTTTTTTTTTAGTAGAGACTGGGTTTCACCGTGTTAGCCAGGATGGTCTCGATATCCTGACCTCGTGATCCGCCCGCCTCGGCCTCCAAAATGCCCTTTAAGAATGCATCTCCTGGTCAACAGATTGTTTTAACCAGAGTCCCAAAATTGCCAAGAAGAGAATAGGCCAGTCTGAGAACCGCCAATCCATGTTTGTGCATTCGTTCATTTGGAAAAGGCAGTATAGTACAGTGCTTAGAAGTAAGGACTCTAGGCCGGGCTCAGCACTTTGGGAGGCCAAGGCGGGTGGATCACCTGAGGTCAGAAGTTCGAGACCAGCCTGGCCAGCGTAGTGAAACCCCGTCTCTACTAAAAATACAAAAATTAGCTGGGTGTGGTGGCACCTGGGGGCCGGGGAGCGGGGGTGAGGCATGAGAATCTTGAACCTGGGAGGTGGAGGTTGCAGTGAGCCAAGATCATGCCATTGCCCAGCCTGGGCAACAAGAGCAAAACTCTGTCTCAAAAAAAAAAAAAAAAGAAAGAAACAAGGACTCTGATTAGACAAAGCAAGACTTGAATCCCAGCTCCCCTTTGTACATACATAATCTTCTCCTTAAGTGTGTGTGTGCATGTGTGGGTGGTTTTTTTTTCTTGTTTATTGTGTACCAGAGTCACAAGCTTTCATAGTTTTAACTTTTTGTATTGGATTAGCCATTTCTCAAGGCCATAAAATGCCAGTTGTGGACAGATTGACCTACAGAAACTTGTTATTTCTTCATCTGGGCTGAATCTTGTGATTTCCTAAGTCACAAGTGCCTTAGGGAGAGCTCAAACCAAAGGTGCCTGGCTAATCAGATATTCATCCAGTTCTTGTGTTGCAGGGAACAGCTGTAAGCTTTGCCCTTGTAATAGAATCACTTTTGTCTTTGAGCAAAAGCAGAAAACTTTTGTCATCTTTCCTCCAAGTTTCCTTAAACCTTTAAAAGGACAACAGTGGAAAGAACTAAAGCAAACCTCAGCCAGAAGACACAGGGAGTTGCAGGAACCTACTGGCTGAGACAGGAGACAGGAGAATGAAGAATTGATGAGCTCTCCTTCTCTGTCTGCAGGAAAATGCTGTCCAGTGGGGTGTGTACATCAACTGTTCAGCTTCCTGGGAAAGTAGTTGTGGTCACTGGAGCTAATACAGGTATCGGGAAGGAGACAGCCAAAGAACTGGCTCAGAGAGGCAAGTTCACCTGCTTTCAATTCCCTATTACTGCTGCTTTACCCCTCACAGTAATGATGATTCATTCTCATTGTTTCTTCCCAGTTTTGGAATTCAAGAATACCTAAGGGTTCCACTGATTTGCTGATCTGAAACTAGTACTATGCTCTACATATAATTAATGAGTATTATTAATGAGTATTATTAATTTTTCTTTAACTATTTGCTAATTAGATACCTCTGTTGTGAAGAAAGGGTAAAAATGTGTGTTTTTAAAAAATATTGGAAATAACATCAGATTTATAATGCCAGCTCAAAAACAGAGCTGACCGTTTCTCTTTCATATGTTGGCTGACAGGAGCTCGAGTATATTTAGCTTGCCGGGATGTGGAAAAGGGGGAGTTGGTGGCCAAAGACATCCAGACCACGACAGGGAACCAGCAGGTGTTGGTGCGGAAACTGGACCTGTCTGATACTAAGTCTATTCGAGCTTTTGCTAAGGGCTTCTTAGCCGGTAAGTGTAGAACTAGAGAGACTATGTTGTGGGTCTTGAGATCAACATGGCAGATTTAACTAAAAGGAAAAGGTCCCTCTCCCTCATGGAAGTAGTGGATAAAATGTAGCCAAAAACTTTTGTAGCTGAACTCATAGTCACTGGGACACGATTTATGTCAAAGGGGTATCTTCCAGAGGCAGAAACAAAAAAGGAATTCAAAACGTCATAGCAGTGAGCAAGAGCTGAAGCCAGAAATCTCATTGGAGTCTCAGCATTCAGTATGGGCTTTTAGGGTCTGAGGTCTAAATACCTATACGGGCCTTTGAGAGCTGGAGCTGTGTTTGAGGTTCTACACAAGGTTGAGATTCACAAAGGGCCATCTGGTCCATAGTATAGAGGCTAATAAAAACCCTGGCCACCAGCTCAGGGACATGACATCTCTTTAGGACATAGATGGATAAAGAGTCATCGGCAAAAAATTAGAACCCCAAGCTGGCATCATCTGTGGGGTCTGAATTCATACCACCAAATGATATGAGAATATTTATGGGTTTGATTTGTGTGTGTGTGTGTAATAATCTATGGGAAATTAACATAAAAACCTGTAGTGTGTCATCAAAAGCAAATCCAAGAGCACTCTATAGGCATATCCCCTCATAGCCCAGGGATCTAGGCCTCCAAGGAAAAAACTTTCACTGGTGTGAACTCATAAATGACAAACCACATGAGGAAATGAACCATGAGAGAGAATTGGAAGATGCAATAAAGAGGTGAAGCCAGTATTTATTTCTTTGGGGACCTGAATACCAGGGCAGAGGTACATAGAGAATCTTCTTTTATCTCTTGCTTTGGAATCTTTCCATTCAGCTTGGGAAGTCTTTTTATTGGGAGAGGTGGATGAAACAATTCCCAAAAGCAGTGAGTAAGTAGCTCCCGAACTACAAAGATCGAGAAGGTCATTTGGTAGTATAAAATGGAATTTTGCCCCATAGTAAAAGTAGGTGGGATTCAACTAGTCTTAAAATGAAAAACAATAGAAAATAAGTATGAAGGGAAAATGGAGGGAAGATTGAAGTCCTGCATCCTCACTTTCAAAGCCTGAGCATGAGGCAGCTTTCTAAGATGTAGTAGCTTTGGCTAACCACTTCCGCGCTCCATTGTCTTGTCCCTGCAGAGGAAAAGCACCTCCACATTTTGATCAACAATGCAGGAGTGATGATGTGTCCCTACTCGAAGACAGCAGATGGCTTTGAGATGCACATAGGAGTCAACCACTTGGGTAAGAAATCTGGCCTTATCACAAAGCTAGAGACAACCAAAATTCTCTTTGGGAAACTTAGGGGTCAGACTGAGCCTTCTTGTGATGTGACTGAACCTACCTGACAGCTGAGGAATACCTGAGGGCTGCTCCAGGTTCTGCCCACTTTTTAATCTGTGATTTAGATTCAGTTTGCTTTGGCGCATTTTTTAACAGCCTAATTGGTTTAGGGTACTGTCTTGCTTTCTTAGTAGTGATCCTTGTGGCCATCATCAGGTATAGGTCATCTGCTCTTTTTTTGTAGAGACAGGGTCTTGCTATGTTGCCCAGGCTGGTCTTAAACTCCTCGCCTCAGGCACCTTCCTGCCTCAGCCTCCTTAGGTGCTGAGATTGCAGGTGTGAGCCACTGCACCCAGCCGACCAGCTCTTAAGAATGAGATTAACCAAAGTAGGAATGAGCTGGGACTTCATATTCACGTAGTCTAGACCTATCTCGCTCATATAAGGATGCCTCATGTCTTTGGCTGTTGTTATTTCCCTAAACCTTCACTGAACTTGTTTTCTAGTTGATAATGAAAAGTTGGAGGGAAAGATCTTATTTCTGAATTATCTGCCTCCCATAGCTGAGGCCTGCTTACCATGACTCCTGTCATTCCCACATTGCCCTGAACTTCATTAATTCTAGTATTTCTCAACAGGTCACTTCCTCCTGACCCATCTGCTGCTAGAGAAACTAAAGGAATCAGCCCCATCACGGATAGTAAATGTGTCTTCCCTTGCACATCACCTGGGAAGGATCCACTTCCATAACCTACAGGGCGAGAAATTCTACAATGCAGGCCTGGCCTACTGTCATAGCAAGCTAGCCAACATCCTATTCACCCAGGAACTGGCCCGGAGGCTAAAAGGTGGGCCTGGAGGAAATGAATGTGTGGAGACATGAGTCGGAGAGAGGCAGGTAAAAGCCACAGGAATGGAAACTGTTTCCAGAGCCCATCACTTGGAGAGGACCTGCTTCCATGGCTATAATTGGGTATAGTTTTAGTAAGTAGTCTACAACTGAATATTGAAGGTGGCTAGCTGGGACAGTGGACTCTGACTTTGAGTCTGAAGACCTGGCTTTACCACTTATTAGCTGTGTGATCTATAGCAAGTTACTTAACTTTTTTTTTTTTTTTTGAGACGGTGTCTCGCTCTGTCACCTGGGCTAGAGTGCAATGGAGTGATCTCGGCTTACTGCAAGCTCTGCCTCCCAGGCTCACGCCATTCTCCTGCCTCAGCCTCCCCAGCAGCTGGGACTACAGGCTCCCGCCACCACGCCTGGCTAATATTTTGTATTTTTAGTAGAGACGGGGTTTCGCTGTGTTAGCCAGGATGGTCTCGATCTCCTGACCTCGTGAGCTGCTCACCTCAGCCTCTGAAAGTGCTGGGATTACAGGTGTGAGCTACTACGCCTGGCCTTTTTTTTTTGTTTTTTTTTTTTTTTGAGACGGAGTCTTGCTCTGTCACCCATGCTGGAGTGCAATGGCGCAATCTCGGCTCACTGCCAACCTCTGCCTCCCAGGTTCAAGCGATTCTCCTGCCTCAGCCTCCTGAGTAGCTGAGACTATAGGTGCGTGCCACCACGCCTGGCTAATCTTTGTATTTTTAGTAGAGACAGGGTTTCACCATGTTGGTCAGGCTAGTCTTGAACTCCTGACCTCAGGTGATCCACCCACCTCAGTCTCCCAAAGTGCTGGGATTACAGGTGTGAGCCACCACACCTGGCCATTACTTAACTTTTAGGACTTCCTTCTTCATATGTAAATGGGACTACTTCACAATTTATTGTCATAATTAATTCAGGCTTCATAAGCAAGTCAAGATTTTTTACTCATAGTGAGACTGAGTAGGAGGGAAGGACCTGAACTGGCACTAGATAAAGGCAGTAGACTAAAACAGGTACTGGAAATATGGAGGAGGAGGGTCTTCCTTGCAAAGGGTCAAATAAGAGGGAAATACATACTTGAGAAGGGGAGTTTCCAGTAACAAATACACAGAGGTCCTTAGCACTGTCTACTCTGGATTTCTAATAAAGAGAAAGGAAATCGAGGGTGAACTGTGCTAAGAATTGAGGCGGGCAGAATGCAGGCTCAAGGAATCAGGCACAGTTGCTCTATGGTTGGAACAGGATCATCCTACCAAATGAACATCTGTGAGATGGGAAGGAAGCTGGTGGTTAGCTCAGTCCTTATGCCCAGTCTGTGCCCAGGGCATGACATCTTTTATCAATTTATGATAGATGAGGGTAACTGGATGGCAAAAACTATCCAAAGAGTTGATCAGGGAGCCTCAGTGACCTGGAGGTGTAAAGATGGGTCCAGTGGTGAGAATTCACAATATGTGAATGAGGTAACTCTGATCGTTGTGAGGATTCAGTGGAAAATCTTTATGGTGCAGTAAAAGAACCCTGGTTTGACAGAGGATTCATTCATTCAGCCATTCAGCAGACATGTATTCAGTGCCCATGCTGTTCCATGCACTGGGTTAGGGGACAGGGGATGAGTTGGTGAACAAGATAGGTATAGTCTCTTCTTTGGTTTGGTTTACATCTAATGGGGGAGAAAGACAATTAGCAAGTCTTTATACAAACTGTTAAATGTAGAATCAGCCTAGTAATGCATGAATAATTCTCATTGTAAAAAGTTCAAATAAGGCCAGGCACAGTGGCTCACACCTTTAATCTCAGGCACTTTAGGAGGCCAAAACCAGAGGATTACTTGAGACCAGGAGTTCAAGATCAGCCTGGGCAAAATAGTGAGACCTCATCTCTACCAAAAAAAAAAAAAAAGTTCAAAGCATATGGAAGTATGTAGAATTAAAGGTGAAAAACCCCCTTCATTCCCCTCTTCCCTGCTCTTCTCCCTTCACGTGACCATTGTCAATAGCTTGTATGCCCCTTTCCAATAATTATCCAATGCATTTACATATGTATGTATCATGCACAAGGAACTGAAACTCCAACACAGTATCTTGGAGATCTTTCCATTTAGTACATATGGATTTACCCCATTCATTGTATTGGCTGTGTTGTATTTCATAGTATAGATGTGCCTTAGTGTATTTATGCATTTCTTTAACAACATCTGGATTGTTTCCTTTTTGTTGTGGCTGTTTAATTATAATTGTGATAGATGTTATAAAGGAGAAGTACCAGGACTTATAATGGATTTTAGTGGGGGCCTGGGGGGGACCTTATTCAGTCTGAGGGTTCAGGGAAGACTTTTCTGAAGAAGTGAGTTGCATGCTGAGCCCCGAAGGATGATTAGAAATTAAAGGGATTAGAGATACTGATAGAATGTGGAGGCTGAGGACAGGCGCCATGGCTCATGCCTGTAATCCTGGCAGTTTGGGAGGCCGAGGCAGGTGGATCACCTGAGCTCAGGAGTTCGAGACGAGCCTGGCCAACTTGGTGAAACCCCCGTCTCTACTAAAAATACAAAGATTAGCCGGGTATGGTGGCAGGCACCTGTAATCCTAGCTACTGGAGAGGCTGAGGCAGGAGAATTGCCTGAACCTGGGACAGAGTTTGCAGTGAGCCAAGATCACGCCATTGCACTCCAGCCTGGGCAGCAAGAGTAAAACTCTGTCTCAAAAAAAAAAAAAAGGAGGGGGGGGCCAGACGCGGAGGCTCACACTTGTAATCCCAGCAGATCACCTGAGGTCAGGGGTTCAAGAGCAGCCTGACCAACATGGAGAACTCCGTCTCTACTAAAAATACAAAATTAGCCAGGCATGGTGGCGCATGCCTGTAGTCCCAGCTACTCAGGAGGCTGAGGCAGGGGAATCTCTTGAACCTGGGAGGCAGAGGTTGCAGTGAGCTGAGATCGCGCCATTGCACTCTAGCCTGGGCAACAAGAGCAAAACTCCATCTGAAAAAAAAATAAGAATGTGGAGGCTGAGAAACGTTCCAGGCAGAAGGAACAGATTGTACAAAGGTCCAGGCTCAGTTTGAGAAAGGTTACCATCGGTAGGCTGTAGAAAGCAAGAGTAATAAAGATCTGAGCTGAGACTGGTGAGGTAGGTAGAGGCCAAACCCTTAGAGGCCACAATAAGGATTTTCATGTTTATTCTAAGAGCAATGGGAAACCTTTAAAATTAAAGCCTTTTCAAAATGGGGGCAAGAGGGGTTGCAGCCGTTGATTTCATCAGCAGAGGCGAGAAATGAGGGTAGTTTGGACTAGATGGTGGAGATGGAGGGTAGTAGAAGCTTCTGAGAGATATTTGGGGTGGGAGAGCTTGTTGACTGGAGATGCATGCTTTAGGCGAGCATTCATCAAGAACCCTTTTGCCTGATTGGGCATGTCAGGAACACTGCAAGAACTGGGTTTGGCTTTAAAAGTAGAAATCTGGGACCTCTGAGTCTGCATTACTATGGGTCATCTAGGGAGATGTCGAGTAGGCAGTTGGGAATAATGCACGTCCACAGGGCTCTGTCTGCAGCTGTCAGTCCACAAAGACCCGAAAAATTCTGTTTCTTCGTAAGCTTTACACCAAAACTCATTTGGCAGCAAAACATTTCCTGTACTAGGGAGATTAGATAATAGGCAGTGTATGTATACATTTCATATTACCTTTCTACAATCAGAAAAAAATTGAAGTATGTCTGGCCCCAGCATTTTCAATAAAGGATTGGGGACCTGAAATAGCATGTCATTTAGCACTTACCATGCATCAGGCACTTTTTTTTTTTTTTTTTTTTTTTTGCGACGAAGTCTCACTCTGTCACCCAGGCTGGAGGGGCAGTGGCATGACCTCGGCTCACTGCAACCTCTGCCTCCTCGGTTCAAGTCATTCTCCTGCCTCAGCCTCCCGAGTAGCTGGGATTACAGGTGCACGCCACCATGCCCGGCTAATTTTTGTATTTTAGTAGAGATTGGGTTTCACTGTGTTGCCCAGGCTGGTCTATAACTCCTGAGCTCAGGCAATACACCTGCCTTAGCCTCCCAAAATGCTAGGCTTATAGGCATGAGCCACTACATCCAGCTGCATGAGGCACTCTTCTAAGATCTTTAACATATACGAACTCATTTCATCCTCAGAACAACCCTGTGAGGTGTAGGTATTATGATTGCTCCCATTTTAGAGATGAAGAAATGAGTCACAAAAGGGAAGTTGCCCAATATCTAATGAGTGGAGCCAGGATTTGAAACTGGGCAGTCTGTCTACAAAGTCCATGCCCATAACTACCACACTGTGTTGACTCCCAGTATGTCTGTAGTTCAGGAGCAGTTTGAACTGTGGACAAAATGTGAGCACCTTAGAATTATGGAGAGTGAGTCTGGTGAGCCACAAGAACTCCAACATTTAATTTTTGCATAGAAGATGATGAACTGGTCCAGAAAACTGAGACAGAGCAGCCAGAAAATTTAGGAAAACCAGAAGTGGTGTAGGCTTATGGAAGCCAATGAAAAAGAAGACTTTAAGAAGGGGATGGGCGCCTGTAATCCCAGCATTTTGGGAGGCCGAGGTGGGCAGATCACTTAAAGTCAGGAGTTTGAGACCAGCCTGGCCAACATGATGAAATCCCGTCTCCACTAAAAATACAAAAATTAGCCTGGCATGGTGGCCCATGCCTGTAGTCCCAGCTACTCTGGAGGCTGAGGCAGCAGAATCACTCGAAACTGGAAGGCAGAGGTTGCAGAGCTAAGATCGTGCCACTGCACTCCAGCCTGGGCAACAGAGCGAGACTGTCTCAAAAAAAAAGAAGGGGATGGGGTGGGCATGGTGGCTCATGCCTGTGATCCTAATACTTTGGGAAGCCAAGGTGGGAAGATTGTTTGAGGCCAGGAGTTCAAGACCAGACTGGTCAACATAGGGAGACCCCATCTCTAAAAAAGAAGGGGAAAAAAAGAAGGGGGTGGTCAACAGTGTTAAGTGCTACTGAGAGGATGAGTCTTGGCTTTGCTGATTCCTGACAGGGAAGTTTCCAGTCACAAATACACAGAGGTCCTTAGCACTGTCTACAGCCTTCTTAAATCTGTGAGATAGAAGTATAAATTACTGTGAGCAATACTTCTGATGTCACCATGGGCAAAAGAGTCCATATGTGAAAGTCACATGTTTATTTACATCCTTTTCTGTTTCGGGCCATTCTGCAAAATCAAGTCCTGTCTTCCTCTCTCTTCTTGGCACCCCCAACCAGGCTCTGGCGTTACGACGTATTCTGTACACCCTGGCACAGTCCAATCTGAACTGGTTCGGCACTCATCTTTCATGAGATGGATGTGGTGGCTTTTCTCCTTTTTCATCAAGACTCCTCAGCAGGGAGCCCAGACCAGCCTGCACTGTGCCTTAACAGAAGGTCTTGAGATTCTAAGTGGGAATCATTTCAGGTATGTATGTTATCTCTTTCTGAAGATGAGATTTTATTGCTCAAAGGAGATATTTGGGTTTGTCTGGGTATACCCTTTTTTAAAAGTACATTGTCTAATATAGCTTTTGTCTTTTAACTGTAGAGTTTTTACCTTTTAATAGGGGAATCTGACTCCTTTTTTTGTAATAATTGCTACATTTGATTTTACTTATGCCATCTTTTATACTGAAAATTATACATTGTTTGTTTTCTTCCTGTCTTTGTTATGTCAGTCTAGTCATCTTTATTCTATTTTGGATTCCTAATTCTATTGTTTTACATTAAAAAGAATTTTAAAAAAAATTGAGGCCGGGCGCAGTGGCTCATGCCTGTAATCCCAGCACTTTAGGAGGCCAAGGTGGGCGGATCACCTGAGGTCGGGCGAAACTCTGCCTCAAAAAAATAAAAAAAAGAATTTGAATATGTATTTCTCTATTGTCTTCAGGATTGAAATACTACCTATGGACTCCCCTCTCAAATAAGCAAAGACATTTAAAATGATTTAAATGTAGAGAATTTTGAGTATAACACAGGGGTAGATAAAATAGTACACTGAACCTGCATATAATGGAGACTCAGCTACCATTAACCCATGACCAGTTCTGCCCTATCCCCATTCTCTACCCCTTTCCATATTTTTCTTCTCCCATATTATTTTGAAGCAAATCCCAGGCTCACACAAGATCAAAATTTTAACATGTTTTTACCTCTACTTCAGGTTATTGTTGAAATGACCTGAAATTTTAGGAAAGTAGCTAAAAGTAGCTTTAAGATTGGAAAGAAAGGCAGACAGATTATGAGAGGCCTATAATGCCGGCCTTGTGGAGGAGCCCCAGAGTTGTTTCAGTAGAGAGACATAATCTGGTCTGTGCTTTAGAAACTTTGTTTCATGAATGAATAATTAACCTAGTGAGAGAGAGAGTTCCAGAAAGTTGGGATGAAAGGAATGGTAATGTGAAAGAGGCCCTGAAGCAGCAGAATTTTTATCACTGGATGATTAATAAATGAGGGGATGAGAGAGGCTTTGCTAACCTCAATTTCAAGCCTGACTGAGGTTGATGATGACATTAACTAAGACAGCAGACATGGAAAAGTAATGTGTGGAACTTCTGGTTCCTGGATTCCAAAGCAGTGGAAAGGGACTTTGTCTAGCTTAAGCAAGAAGGAAATTTATTAAACTATTAGTAGGGAGAGGAGGGACCCCTAGGTTGAAAGGGAAGACTGAAGAGCCAGGCTAAGAAGAGTCAGAGTGGCAGTCAGCTAGCCAGGGCATTGCTGCTAGGGTGAGTGAATGCCAGCTGTCTTTAGTCTTTAGGTTTTATTGCTTATCATCGACTCTCTAGGGAGGAAGCATTGGCTCTCCTTCTTCCCATCCCTTCATTTTTACTCTTTTGATTAGAGGCAGACAGGGACTTTATTAATGCTCTTTTCAAACTATATTGAGGGGAAAAGGTAATTCTGCAGAAGGAAATCAGGTTGCTATTGCCAAAAGAAAGTAGAATGTTCAGCCAAAGAGTAACAGTTGTCCACTGTGTAATAAACCTGGCTCTGTACATGTTGTGTGTGTGTTATCTATAAGGCATGCAAGTAGAAATGTATAGCAGATAGTTGGAAATGTGGTTCTGAAGTATAAGAAGATAGATTTATATAGTACACTGGATTGATTTTCCAAGAATGACTGGATTCTTCTTCCCTGGAGATTTTAAGAAAAAAATAATAATAATAACCCTTTATCTTAGCTTTGACCGAGTGGTTTAAAGAAAGTCAGCTCTAAATCCATAACTTACTATTGAACTGACTTTTGAAGAACCTTTCCTTTGCTATGGATTCTTAATTCATTTTGAAGATCCAACATCAGCGATGTAGACCACCATCAAGAAATGATCATAAAAGTCTGTTTTGATTGAAGCCTTAAGATTTTTGCACTGGCTCTTCTTTCTGCCTGCAACCACTAGTCTGCTTTATGTCTCTAAGAATTTGCCTTTACTGGACATTTCATATAAATGGAATCATATGATATGTGGCCTTTTGTGACTGACTTCTTTTACTTAGCTTAATGTTATCAAGGTTCACCCATGCCAAAGCATGTGTCAGTAGCTCATTTCTTTTTATTGCTGCGTAACATTTCATTATATAGATTTGCCACATCTTATTTATTCATTCATCGGGTGATGGGCATTGGGTTTGCACCTTTTAGCTATTTGAATACTGCTGTGACAATTTGTGTAGAAATTTTTTTGTGGACATTTCTCTTGGGTACATAGAAGTGGAGTTTCTGGGTTATATGGTAACTCTGTGTTTAACTTCTGAGGAACTGCCAAACTTTTCCAAAGTGACTGCCCCATTTTACATTCCCACCAGCAGTGTATGAGTGTTCTAATTTCTTCACATCCTTAACAACACTTGTTATTGTCTCTCCTTTTGAGTTTAGCCATCCTAGTGAGTATGAAGGAATATTTTGTTTTTATTTTCATTTCATTTTCCTACTAATGATGTTGAACATTTTTTCATGTGCTTTTTGGTTCATTTGTTTCTTTGTTGGGGAAATGTCTATTCAAGTCCTTTGCCCATTTTTAAGTTTGATAATTGCCTTTTTATTGCTGAGTTGCAAGAGTTCTTAATAGTCTAGATACAAGTTCCTTGTCAGATATATAATTTGCAAATATTCTTTCATTCTGTGGGTTGTCTTTTAACTTTCTTAATGGTGTCTTTTGAAATGTAAAACTTGTAAATTTTGATGAAGTCTAGTTTATCTATTTTTTGTCACTTGTGTAGTCGTAGCTAAGAAATCATTGCCTTACCCAAGGTCACAAAGATTTACTACTGTCTTTAGTAAAGACAGTTTTCTGTTACTATAACAGAATACCACAGACTGGGTAATTTCTTTTTTTCTTTTTAATTTTATTTTTTGATTTTATTATTTTTTTACTTTTATTTTTTATTATACTTTAAGTTCTAGGGTATATGTGCACAACGTGCAGGTTTGTTACATATCTATACATATGCCATGTTGGTGTGCTGCACCCATTAACTCGTCATTTATTTATTTATTTATTTATTTATTTATTTATTTTTGAGACAGAGTCTCGCTCTGTCGCCCAGGCTGGAGTGCAGTGGCGCAATCTCGGCTCACTGCAAGCTCCGCCTCCCGGGTTCACGCCATTCTCCTGCCTCAGCCTCCTGAGTAGCTGGGACTACAGGCGCCCGCCACCGCGCCCGGCTAATTTTTTGTATTTTTAGTAGAAACGGGGTTTCACCGTGGTCTCGATCTCCTGACCTTGTGATCCGCCCGCCTCGGCCTCCCAAAGTGCTGGGATTACAGGCGTGAGCCACCGCGCCCGGCCAACTCGTCATTTATATTAGTTATCTCTCCCGATGCTATCCCTCCCCACTTCCCCTTCCCCACAATAGGCACCGGTGTGTGATGTTCCCCTTCCTGTGTCCAAGTGATCTCATTGTTCAATTCCCACCTATGAGTGAGAACATGTGGTGTTTGGTTTTCTGTTCTTGCGATAGTTTGCGGAGAATGATGATTTCCAGCTGCATCCATGTCCCTACAAAGGACACGAACTCATCCTTTTTTATGGCTGCATAGTATTCTATGGTGTATATGTGCCACATTTGCTTAATCCAGTCTGTCACTGATGGACATTTGGGTTGATTCCAAGTCTTTACTATTGTGAATAGTGCCGCAATAAACATACGTCTGCATGTGTCTTTATAGCGGCATGATTTATAATCCTTTGGGTATATCCCCAGTAATGGGATGATGGTATTTCTAGTACCATTTGACCAGTAATGGGTCAAATGGTATTTCTAGTTCTAAATCCTTGAGGAATCGCCACACTGTTTTCCACAATGGTTGAACTATTTTACAGTCCCACCAACAGTGTAAAATTGTTCCTATTTCTCCACATCCTCTCCAGCACCTGTTGTTTCCTGACTTTTTAATAATTGCCATTCTAACTGGTGTGAGATGGTATCTCATTGTGGTTTTGATTTGCATTTCTCTGATGGCCAGTGATGATGAGCATTTTTTCATGTGTCTGTTGGCTGTATAAATGTTTTCTTTTGAGAAGTGTTTGTTCATATCCTTTGCCCACTTTTTGATGGGGTTGTTTATTTTTTTCTTGTAAATTTGTTTGAGTTCTTTGTAGGTTCTGGATATTAGCCCTTTGTCAGATGAGTAGATTGCAAAAATTTTCTCCCATTCTGTAGGTTGCGTGTTCACTCTGATGGTAGTTTCTTTTGCTGTGCAGAAGCTCTTTATTTTATTTAGATCCCATTTGTCAATTTTGGCTTTTGTTGCCATTGCTTTTGGTGTTCTAAACATGAAGTCCTTGCCCATGCCTATGTCCTGAATCGTATTACCTAGGTTTTCTTCTAGGGTTTTTATGGTTTTAGGTCTAACATTTAAGTCTCTAATCCATCTTGAATTAATTTTTGTTGCTTCCTTACATGACTTTAAAGATTGTAATCCATTCACTCAATCATTTTTTTTAAACTTTGATTGAATGCTTACCAGATGTATACCACATCCAGAGAATACAAAAATGAGTAAGAATTGTCCTTAAGAAAATTTTCTGCATCAGAATTATAGGCTGGGCACGGTGGCTCACACCTGTAATCTCAGCACTTTGGGAGGCCGAGGAAGGTGTATCACTTGAGGTCAGGAGTTTTGAGACAAGCCTGGCCAACATGGCAAAACCCTGTCTCTACTAAAAATACAAAAATTAGCCAGTCATGGTGGCAGGCGCCTATAATCCCGGCTACTCCGGAGGCTAAGGCAGGAGAATCACTCAGACCTGGGAGGCAGAGGTTGCAGTGAGCTGAGATCGCACCACTGCACTCCAGCCTGGGTGACAGAGTGACTCCGTCTCCAAAAAAATAAAAGAAAAACAAACTTGGAATTAATTACAGCAATGAAGAGAGGGTATATATATGAAACACTTTGCTATGATTTGAATGTGTCCCTCAAGGTTCATATGTTGGAAACTTAAGCCTCAGTACAACAGTGTAGAGAGGCAGGGCCTTTAAGAGGTAAATTAGGTCACAAGGGCAGACCTCATGAATGGATTAATGCCATTCTCTCTGGAATGGGTTCATTATTGTGGGAGTGGTTCCTTACTAAAGGATGACTTGGGTCCCCTTCCCTCTCTTGCCCATGTGATGCCTTCCATCTTGTTATGACACAGCAAGAAGGCCTTCATCAGATGCCAGCCCCTTGATCTTGGTCTCAGCTTCCATAATCATAAGCCACTTTCTGTAAGCTCATTATAGTTCCCCAGTCTGTCATATTCTGTTACAGCACCACAAAACGGACCCAGACACCTGGTACCTTGGTTTTACCATTTCTTTTCTGCTGTCGCGTTTTCCTTTTGTTGTTTTTGAAGCTGGCTTTACTTCTCATATGAGTTTACAAACAGTATAACTTCAGGTAGTCCAGAAATCAGCTTTTTTTTTTTTTTAACTACTCCAAGCATCTCTGACCAATGTGAATAGCAGGATCTCAGCTATATGACATTGTCCAAGGCCCTGTAGAATGGGCCCTGTGGAGTTACTTGAAGAAGATAGATATACATGGGTATCAGGCAGGCACTGATATTAAATTATATAAATAGGGGAATATAAAGACCAGATGTATGCATTATATATCAAACAAAGCATTCTGATGAGAGGTGGTCTAGCGAGGAGATCTAAAATGGGAATTACATTTTGTCTGGCTAAGGACTAGAGGATAAAGAGATAGGACAAACACTGGCCCTGTGAAGTACATGAAGAACATGTGATCCCTGGTTGTTTTTATGTCATATTCCTTATCCCTGGCAGATGGCAGACTTCATTCTTAACACTGTGCTTCATACCTCTCTCTTTACCTTCCAGTGACTGTCATGTGACATGGGTCTCTGCCCAAGCTCGTAATGAGACAATAGCAAGGCGGCTGTGGGACGTCAGCTGTGACCTGCTGGGCCTCCCAATGGACTAACAGGCAGTGGCAGTTGGACCCAAGAGAAGACTGCGGCAGACTACACAGTACTTCTTGTCAAAATGATTCTCCTTCAAGGTTTCCAAAACCTTTAGCACAAAGAGAGCAAAATGTCTATCATGTCCAGATTTACTTTGCTTCTGTTACTGCCAGAGTTACTAGAGATCTCATAATAGGATAAGAAGACCCTCATATGACCTGCATAGCTCGTATTCTCCTTCTGAAAGAAACTACTACCTAGGAGAATCTAAACTATAGCAGGGATGATTTATACGAATTTGAACTAGCTTTTCTATTCACAATTCAGTTTCTCCCAACCAACCAGTCTTCACTTCAAAAGGGCCACACTGCAACCTCAGCTAAACTCCATGAGCTCAGGAGTAGGGCTTGACCAGGCATGGTGGATCACCGGAGGTCAGTAGTTCAAGACCAGCCTGGCCAACATGGTGAAACCCCACCTCTGCTAAAAATACAAAATTAGCTGGGCATGGTGGCACACACCTGTAATCCCAGCTACTCAGGAGGCTGAGGCAGGAGAATCGCTCAAACCCGAAGGGTGTAAAGTAAGCTGAGATTGCATCACTGCACTGCAGCCTGGGCAGCAGAGCAAAACTTTGTCTCAGGAAAAAAAAAAAAAAAGAGCAGGGCTTGACCCTCACCTCTTTAACTGTCATGCACCAGCTTCTGGATTCTTTCAGGAGATTCTTAACTGAAGCTGGATTATGGCATGGTCTTATCTCTGACAACCTAAAGCCACTGCTGTTAAGATGCTTTCTCATGTCTAAACCACAGAACGGCTTCCTTTTCTAAGAAGTTTGTGAGGTTTGGGGAATGGCAGAAATGTAGAGGAAGGCAGAAATTATAATCAAGTTCAAACTGTCATTTTCCTGTTTCTTGAACCAGGAAATAGATAAGGAAAGGAGCACTCTGAAAAGTCAGGCCACTGGACTCCAGTTAGTGACCCCAGGCCCATGGAAGACTCCTTTTTTGTGCCTTAGTTTCTCTTAGAAAATGAGAAGAAAGGCTTTTTGGTCATCGTCATTGTGTGTATCTTTGTGTGTCTTCTTGTTTATGTATGCTAAGGGAGTATTTTCACAAAGTTCAAAACAGCCACAATAATCAGAGATGGAGCAAACCAATGCCATCCAGTCTTTATGCAAATGAAACACTGCAAAGGGAAGCAGATTCTGTATATGTAACTACCCACCAAGAGCACATGGGTAGCAGGGAAGAAGTAAAAATAAAGAAGGAGAATACTGGAAGATAATGCATGAAATGAAGGGACTAGTTAAGGATTAAGAAAATAGCAGAAGACATTAAATATACTAACATAGCTATGGAAGAATTGAGGGTGAGCATCCAAGACTGATGAGGTCTTAAGAAAAACCAGTGTAGCAAAAAAAAAAAAAAAAAAATCCTAAAAACGAAAAGAAAAAACCCAATTCTTTTATTCAGAAAAATTATCTTAGGGACTGATATTGGTAATTATGGTCAATTTAATAATCTTTTGGGGCATTTCCTTACATTGTCTTGACAAGACTAAAATGTCTATGTGCCAAAATTCTGTATTTTATTTGGAGACTTTTTTTTTTTTTTTTTTGAGACAGAGTCTCGCTCTGTCGCCCAGGCTGGAGTGCAGTGGCCGGATCTCAGCTCACTGCAAGCTCCGCCTCCCGGGTTTAGGCCATTCTCCTGCCTCAGCCTCCCGAGTAGCTGGGACTACAGGCGCCCGCCACCTCGCCCGACTAGTTTTTTGTATTTTTTAGTAGAGACGGGGTTTCACGGGGTTAGCCAGGATGGTCTCGATCTCCTGACCTCGTGATCCGCCCATCTCGGCCTCCCAAAGTGCTGGGATTACAGGCTTGAGCCACTGTGCCTGGCTGGAGACTCTTTATCAAAAGTAATGCCAGAGGAAGTCTGAGGAATTAGTAGTGTTCCCATCACTTGTTTAGAGTGTGCTATTCTAAAAGATTTTGATTTCCTGGAATGACAATTATATTTTAACTTTGGTGGGGGAAAGAATTATAGGACCACAGTCTTCACTTCTGATATTTGTAAATTAATATTTTATTGAACTTGTTTTGACCATTAAGCTATATGTTTAGAAATGGTCATTTTATGGAAAAATTAGAAAAATTCTAATAGTGCAGAATAAATTAATTAATGTTTTACTTAATTTATATTGAACTGTCAATGACAAATAAAAATGTTTTGATTATTTTTTGTTTTCATTTACCAGAATAAAAACTAAGAATTAAAAGTTTAATTACAGTCAAAAGAAGAAAACACTGTTCATTATTATGGTTATGCAATGATTTCTCATTCTAAAGAATAATTTGTCCCAGAGTCTAGCTACAGTGCAATCTCAATCCACATGCTATTAATTTAGGTTGTGTGATAATCTGATTATTCATTCACCATTTCCTACTTAACATTTTTTGACACTCTTCACAGATACTTTTCCCACATTTCTTGATCATCCCGGGCCATTCTTTTTTCTTTTTCTTTTCTTTTTTATTAGAGACAGGGTCTTGCTTTGTTGCCCAGGCTGGCCTCAAACTCTGAGCTCAAACAGTCATCCCACCTCGGCCTCCCAAAGTGCTGGGGTACAGGTGTGAGCCATGGCGCCCGGCCCCAGGCTATTAATCTTTTTTTTGCACCTGCCCCTTATTTCTGTACTGTGACAAGTCCCAGCATTGTGTTGTGGGACTTACACAGTATACTGACAGTTACCTCAGACTTGGTCACGTCTGTGCTCAGTGCATATTAAGAGCTCAACCAAAGCGTGCTGAATCAACAGCCAATGAACTTGATCTAATAAAAATGAGGGCCCAGGAGATATAAATTAGCAAAGCATTTTCTCCTGAGCATTCATACATCTTTTAATATTTGTAGGCAGTTTAAAATTGAGCTCCCAAGCAAACATTTGAGAACAGACACCTTGAGCAAACCGTGAAATCGGTGAAAATAAGAATTTATTTTAATTTTTTTGAGATAGGATCTTGCTTTGTCACCCAGGTTGGAGTGCAGTGGCATGATCTCAGCTCACTGCAACCACTACCTCCCGGGTTCAGGTGATTCTCCTGCCTTAGCCTCCCGAGTAGCTGGGATTTACAGGCGCCCACCACCACGCTCGGCTAATTTTTGTGATTTTAGCAGAGATGGGGGTTTCACCGTGTTGGCTAGGCTGGTCTCGAACTCCTGACTTAAAGTAATCCGCCCGCGTCGGCCTCCCAAAGTGCTGGGATAATGCTTGAGCCACCATGCCCAACCTGAAGACCGGCATTTATACCCATGGAGTGCAGGAAAGGACCTTGTAATTGTTAACAAGTGACACTTAGTGGCAGATGAGACCTAATGAAGCCAGGCCCACCTTCCACACCAGATTATAAATTCCCCCGGAGCAGAGAGTAAATGTTTTATTCACCAACATGCCCAGATCCCTCGCAATGCCTACGCTTGACAAACACCTGTTGTGAACAAGTGCACGAGGCAGCCTAGCAGCTAGAGTATTTCGAGGTCATCCTAACTGGGTTCCACTTTTGAATTTTTGTTTTTTGGGTTTGTTTGGAGACAAGGTCACCCTCCACTTGGGAGCAAAGTCTCCCAAGCTGGAGTGCAGTGGTGGGAACTCTGCAATCTCAACCTTGTGGACTCAAGTAATCCTCCTGCTTCAGCCTCCGGGGTAGCTGGGGCCAAAAGTGCGCGCCACCTTGCCCGGCTCCTATTTTGGGTTTCCGGTAGTGCTCTCGCTATTGTGACCAGGCTGGTCTCGAACTACTCGGTTCAAGCAATCCTCCCACCTCGGCCTCCCAAAGTACTGGGATTACAGACGCGAGCCACTCGCCCGGCCGAGTTCCACTTCTGAAAGCTTGGGGAGCCGCTGGGCCTTCCAGGAAAAGTGCTCCACCTCCCGACTGCAGGCAGAGCCCCCGGCCCGGCTCTTTCCAGGGCCTAAAGCTAACATTCGGTCAAGACGCGAAATGAGGAATTCGGGTCAGGGTGGCAAAGCAAAGCGCGATGACAGTGAGGACGACGTCTAGACGCAAACACACATCAAATCGGGCCGAAGCCCGCTGTCGCCTCGCGGGCTAAACCTGGCACCCCGGGCAACGCGCGACTCCGGCACCAGACGCTCTCCGAGTCAAACTACATCCCCCGGCGTGCACTGCAGCGCCCGCCCCTGGCGGGCCGGCGGGGCCCGGGAGGAAGGCGGCCGAGCTGCCCGTCCCGCAGGTCCCCTAGGGCCCTTTCTCTGCGGCCTTTCCCCACCCCGGACCGGGCACTTCTCGGGCTCTGCGACTACCATTCGCCCCGCTCGCTCCCTCAGGAGTCGCCTAGGCCGCGCAGTCTGCCGCCTTCCCGTCAGGCCTTCGCGCCGGCGCTCCCGCAATCACGGGCTAGAGAGGGTGGGCGTTCCGGCTCGGGAGGACCCTTCTGCGGCCCCGGAAGAGCCTCGTCCTGGGCAGCGGTGGTGCGGCGGTCGCCGTTATGGCCACGGGACTAGGCGGCTGACCGCCGGGCTAGGAGAGGGCCCAGAGCCCCGAATCTGGGTGGCCGCTGCTCGAGCGCGTCCTGCGCCATGGCCGCCTCCGCCGCCTCCTCGGAGCATTTCGAGAAGCTGCACGAGATCTTCCGCGGCCTCCATGAAGACCTACAAGGGGTGCCCGAGCGGCTGCTGGGGACTGCTGGGACCGGTGAGGCGCGGGTGGGCCACGCCGTGGGGAGCGCGGCCCCGCGCGCTTTGGAATTTTCCCCCACCTTCCTCCCAGACCCGGGCCCGCGTCTCCTTCCTCCGCGTCCTCAGACACGCCCCCTAGGGCTGGCTGGGTCGCAACCCCGGGTCTCCCTGCCACTGAGAGTGAATTGGGGACGCGCCCAGGGACGCGGGGTTCAGTTCCCTGGGTTCCTTCTATGGCCTTCCACATTTTCTCGTTTTTTTCCACTGCGGCAAACAGAGCAGAGGGGCTTTTACATCTGCGGTCCTGTAATGTAGCGTGGGTTTCTTTCGTAGCTGTTTTTGTTTGTTTTATGCATTTAGAAGCACTAGTCTCAAGACAGGTCTAGTTTTCACCAGACTGACAGAGGATCTGTAGCACAGAAAAAGGGTTAAAAACCCAAAGGAGTCATAATTTGGGGCGTTGGTATATACCTGTTATTGGAGGGTAGAGAGCTGACCTTTAAAACCTTATGGTGGCGTTTAGATGTGGTCTTGTTTTGAACGTTTTTACTGCTGAGACTATTTACTACCCCTTCATTTCATGGTTCAGGTTGCTACAAGTTTTGTCTGGAGGAGCTAGAGTTTTCCGGCCCTAGATCCATAGGAAGACCTGCTATATGTAGTTCTTGGCCTCCGGATATATAGAACTTGATGGCAAGGACAAAACTTTGTTTTATTGCTTTTATTTAAGGATCAGAGCTTGAGTGTTTGCTCAACGAATTACTCAAGGTCATAGGAATTGAATGACTCTGGTGAGAATGAAATGCATGTATTTAATATATGTTTATTGTGAGGCTGCTGTGTGCCAGGCACTGTTCTAGGTGCTGGTGAATATTGCAAATTACAGTGAAAAAGACATGCACGTCCCCATTCTAGTGGGTAGGTGATAAACAATATATAACTATTAAGCGGCAGTGTTAAAGAATACAGGAAAATAAATCAGAGTAAAGGAATAGGGGATGGGACTTCAGTTTTATTTTATTATTATTATTATTATTATTTTTGAGACAGAGTCTTACTCTGTCATCCAGTCTGGAGTGCAGTGGTACGATCTCGGCTCACTGCAGCCTCCACTTCCCAGATTGAAGCAATTCTCCTGCCTCAGCCTCTGGAGTAACTGGGATTACAGTTGCGCCACCACCCCTGGCTAATTTTTTTTGTATTTTTAGTAGAGACGGGGTTTCACCGTGTTGGCCAGGTTGGTCTCTAACTCCTGACCTCAAGCGATCCGCTTTCCTCGGGACTTCAGTTTTAAATAGGGCGGTTGTGAAAGTCCTCTCTGAGGAGATGGCATTTGAACTGAGACTTGAATGAAGAGAGGGAGTAAACCAGAAATCTGGGAGAAGTGAGTGTCAGAAGGAGGGAATAGCACTGCAAATGCCCTTAAGCGGAAATGAGCTTGGTGTGTTCAACGAAGAGCAGGAAGTTCCATTTGTTTGGGATGAAGTGAGCAAAGGAGAGAGGTAGGCAGGGCCAGATCATGTAGGGCCTTGTGGACCATGGTGAAAGACTTGTGCCTTTTTCTAAATATGATGGGATGCAGTTAAAATATATTGTGCAGAACCATTGTGGGATCTGATTTATGTGATTGAAAAGTTGACTGCAGGCAGGGCACGGTGACTCACACCTGTAATTCCAGTGCTTGGGGAAGCAGAGGCGGGCAGATCACTTGAGGTCAGGAGTTCAAGACCAGCCTGGCCAACATAGTGAAACCCTGTCTCTACTAAAAATACAAAAATTAGCCAGGCATGGTGTCAGTTGCCTGTAGTCCCAGCTACTCAGGAAGCTGAGGCAGGAGAATTGCTTGAACCCAGGAGGCAGAGGTTGCAGTGAGCCGAGATCCTGCCGCTGCACTCTAGTCTGGGCAACAGAGCAAGACTCTGTCTCAGAAAAAAAAAAAAAAAGGAAAAGAAAAGACTGCAGGCTAGGCATGGTGGCTCACACCTGTAATCCCAGCACTTGGGGAAGCTGAGTTAGGAGTATTGCTGTATTGAATGATTTTGAGACCAGCCTGGGCAACGTGGTGAAACGCCATCTCTACAAAAAATACAAAAATTAGCCAGGCATTGTGGTGCGTGCCTGTAGTCCCAGCTCCTGGGGAGGCTGAAGTGGGAGGATCACTTGCGCCCTGGAGCTGGAGGTTGCAGTGAGCCAAGATCGCACCACTGCACTCTAACCTGGATGACAGAGCAAGACTCTGTCTAAAAAAAAAAAAAGTAGACTGCATTTTCAACCTGGCACTGAGTTAATTTTTGCAATGCCCATTTCTATAAGGCTAAATAATGCAAAAGAACATTGCTTGAAAAATAGAAAATTGAATTCATTATTACTATGGTTTGAATGTCCCCTCTAAAACTTATGTTGAAATTTATTTGCCATTTTAATCGTGTTAAGAGGTGGGACCCATAAGAAATGATTAGACCATGAGGGCTCCATCCTCAGGGATTGGATTGTTATCCTGAGAGTGGGTTGGTTGCTGAGAGAGTGGGTTAGTTCAGCCCTCTCCTGCTTGCCTGCTCTCTTGATCTGTTGCTCTTCCACCTTCTGCCATAGGGTGACACATGGGTAGCAAGAAGGCCCTTGAAAGAATCAGGCCCCTCAGCCTTGGGCTTCCCAGCCTCCGGAACTCTGAGAAATACATTTCTTTTCTTTATAAATTACCCAGACTCAGCTATTCTGTTATAGCAACATAAAGCTAAGATAGTTACATTCACGTTTGTTGTCTCCCCAGCCTTTTTCTCCATCCTGCAAAGAGGACAGTCGGAAATATGTGATTTTTTTTTTTTTTTTTTTGAGACAGAGTCTTGCTCTGTCACCCAGGCGGTGATACAATCTCAGCTCACTGCAACCTCCACCTCCTGGGTTCAAGCGATTGTCATGCCTCAGCCTCCCAAGTAGCTGGGATTACAGGCGCATGCTGCCACACCCAGCTAATTTTTGTATTTTTAGTAGGCATGGGGTTTCACCGTGTTGGCCAGGCTGGTCTCAAACGCCTGACCTCAAGTGATCCACCCGCTTCGGCCTCCCAAAGTGCTGAGATTACAGGCGTGAGCCACTGTGCTCAGCAGAAATAGGTGAATTTCTACCCAACCACAAAATATTCTAAGTTGCTGGCAACAGACATAGTTGTAAATAAAGTATATACATATCCCTAGAATTGTAATAAGAAGTCCAGCAACTTTACCTCTTATTCACTGCCTCGTTCACACTGCTCAATAAATATTTGTTGAATAAATTGAATTTATCTAAGCAAACACATGGTGCCTCATCTCTGAATCCGTCTTTTTCTAGTTCAGAGACCACATCATAAAGTTTTCAGCACTTTAATGCCCATCATGAATTATTAGGCACAGCATAATGTACATAATACAGCCCTTGCATGTAGCTTATGCTGTGTAATTGAATTAAGTTATTTTTCAATAAACACTGAGAATTATTATGTATCAGCCACTGTCTGGGTCCTGAAGACTTCCAGAGTACTTACCTTAAAAAGAAACAAACGGCTGGGCACAGTGGCTCATGCTTGTAATCCCATCACTTTGGGAGGCCTAGGCGGGCGCATCACAAGGTCAAGAGATAGAGACCATCCTGGTAAACATGGTGGAACCTTGTCTCTACTCAAAATACAAAAATTAGCTAGGTGTGGTGACATGCGCCTGTAGTCCCAGCTACTCAGGAGGCTGAGGCAGGAGAATTAACTGAACCCAGGAGGTGGAGATTACAGCCAACAGAGCGAGACTCCATCTCAAAAAAAAAAAGTAAACAAACTTACAACAAAGTGTGTGATTAATTCTAAAATAAAGTTCTCAGAGACCATAAAAAAGGCTGGACTTGAGCATGGGGAAGAGAGGGGAAGCTTCAAAAAACTTCAAACTGAATATAACGGGTTAAATGGGAGTTTGCTAAACAGGGGAAATGCAAAGAGGCAACACAGGAGTTAAAAAATGGAATACCCCCAACTCTGGAGCTTAGAATGTATATGGGAAAGTAGTAGTAGATGGGGCAGGTGAAACAGCCAGATTGTGAGGGGATCTTAGTGTGACACTGAGACGTTTGGACTTGATATGGAAAGTCAGTAAAGGACTTAAAGCAGTTGATTGATGTGGATTTTCTTTTAGAAGGAGGGCATTAATGGCTAGACAGAGGATGAGAGAGATCTCAAGAATCTGGGTATAGGGGACTGTGTTAAGAGCCTTTTGGGCAGTTGCCTTGGTAACACAGGAATTTGTTTGACACAGGGTCTCACTCCTGTCTCCTGTCATCCAGGCTGGAGTGCAGTGGCACCATCACTGCTCACTGCAGCCTTGGCTTCCCAAGCTCAAGTGATCCTCCCACCTCAGCCTCCTGGGTAGCTGGGGCCACAGGCGCATGCCCCTAGGCCTGGCTAATTTTTTGTAATTTTAGTAAGGGTCTCCCATGTTGTCCAGGCTGTTGTCGAGTTCCTGGGCTTAATTAAGATCCACCCACCTCAGCGTCTTAAAGTGCTGGGGTTACAGGTGTGAGCTACAGTGCCCGGCCCAAGAGGTGGTTTTGAGGCAGAAATTAGGAAGAAAGATTCCAGGGTGTCTGCATTTTTTCACTTGGTCAACTGGGTGAACGATGAACTTAAATAAGAAACATAAGAGGAGAGGCAGAGTTTGGGTTGTGGATGAGAATATCAAAGGTACCTGCAGAACAGATCATGACATAATATATGTCCATTCTAGCCTCACAGAGTATTTCTTCATGGGTGCAGCACACCAACATGGCACATGTATACATATGTAACAAACCTGTACATTGTGCACATGTACCCTAGAACTTAAAGTATAATAAAAAATAAAAATAAATAAATAAATAAATAAAATAAAACATGGGGGCCAGGTGTGGTGGCTCATGCCTGTAATCCCAATATTCTGGTATGGTGGCTCGTGCCTGTATTCCCAATATTTTGGGAGGCTGAGGCAGGAGGATTGCATGAGGCCAAGAGTTGGAGAC